GGCAGGTTCCTCTAGATGCTCTGAAGGAAGAATCTGTTTCCTTGTGTTTTTCAGCCTGCACCTGCATTCCTTGGCTCATGAAATCACAGCCTTTCCTGCGTCACTCCAATCTCTTCTTCCATCATCACATCTCCTACTACTCACTCTGATCCTCCTGATTCCCTCTTCTAAAGACCCCTGTGATTAAACTGGACCGACCTAGGTGATCCAGAATAATCTCCCCATCTCAAAATCCTTAGCTTAACCATATCTGCAAAGTACCTTTTACCATGTAAGGCAACACACTCACAGGTTCCAGCGATCAGGACGTGGACATGGTGGAGTGGGACATTATTCAGTCCACCATATGAGGCTATTCCAACAATCTAGACAAGAGGCGGTGGTGGTGGCTTGGACCACAGCAGTAGCAGTAATAATAGAGAGAAGTCATGGGACTCTGGACATATTTAAAAGGTTGACAGGATTCGAGGTAGACGGGGTTTGGCAAATAAAAAGAAAGAATAAAAACTGACTCCAAATATTTGGTAGGAGTATTTGGAAGGAAGAAAGGGTATTTATAAAGTCTTCCACTGTGAGTCCCATTAGTCTCAGATCAAGAAGTGTTAGGGATCTAACGTGTCACCAGAAATATTCTAAGTCTAGAGAGAAGAATAAGCTAAGCTTTAACTTCGCCTTCAAGTCAAGATATCTCAACGAAAGGAATCAGTAGACCAGAGAATTCAACACACATTTGAGTGAATAACTACTACAATCTAATGACTGTGCACACTACAGAACCACACGAGTGCACAGTATGCACCATATAATAACTTAAGAGATATTTAAAAAGAAAGATGAACAGTGACTGAAGTATTAGGGAAAAGCTTTGCTGAAAAAAGTGATAAGAGGTTGGACTCTGGAGTACAAACTGGCATCCAACCAGAAGAACTGCAGAGATAAGTGGGCAGAACTGGAAATTAACCTGGCAACCACAGATGTCATGGGCTGCAGGATTTCTCCCAAGTACCTCCAGCAGCGGAGAATGAATGGATACCCCTGGAGGTCTCAAGGGTTGCCTCCCAGAAGCTTGGACTCTCTTTCAAGTGTCATGGCTTACTACTGTCCCTTGCACTTTTGCTCACACTGTATACACTCTGAAATGGAGGCACAAAACGGCAATGTGCCTCCCCAAGACTGCTCAGCAAACCTCCTAAAGTTTCTGTAGAAGATCTCATAAGCTACTTTCAAGAGGTCAACTGGACTTGATATATCCACAAAAGAGAAAAAAAATGTTGAGCAAGGGCTTTAGGTTTCTATACTATTCAAAGAAAAAGATCTTGAGAATACCCTCTGAGCACTTGGTGAGACCTCATCTCTACAATAAAGCAAAAAATAAGCCGGGCATGGTAGTACATGCCTATAGATCCAGCTACTTGGAAGGCTGAGGTGGAAGGATTGCCCAAGCCCAGCAGGTCGAGGCTGCGGTGACCGTGAGCGTGCTACTGCACTCCAGCCTGGATGACAGAGTGAGATTCCAACTCAAAAAAAAAAAAAAGTGACTGGCTGCCAGTCACAGTGGCTCACAACTATAATCCCAGCACTTTGGGAGGTGGAGATGAGAGGACTGCCTGAGGCCAGGGGTTCAAGACCAGCCTGGGCAACTTGGCAAGACCTCGTCTCTTCAAGAAATCAAAAAGTTAGCCAGGTGTGGTGGCTCACGCCTGGCTACTTGGAATGCTGAGGCGGAAGGATCATCTGAGTCTCCTGGAGGTGGAGGCTGCAGTGGCCATGAGCGTGCCACTGCACTCCAGCCTGGGCGACAGAGTGATACTCCAACTCAATAAAAAGAACAACATCAAAAAAATTAGCCAGGCGTGGTGGTGTGCGCCTGTGATTCTAGCCACTTGGAAGGCTGAGGCAGAAGGATCACCTGAGCCCAGCAGATCGAGGCAGCAGTGGCCGTGAGCATGCCACTGCATTCTAGCCTGGGCAACAGAATGAGACTCCTACTCCAAAAAAAAAAGTGACTGGCAGCTACATAAATTCTATATATTTTCTTATTTGTACCTTGTCTGTCTCTCCACTAGAATATATATTCTTTGAGAGTAAGGACACGTTCTAGGCCTTACACTTTCAATCTATAATAATACCTGGCACACGGTGCACTGTAGTTGGACTTGAGGTATGCAGAGGAAAGCCATTCATTCTACAAGCTTGAACCCTCCTCCTCTGAGTGTCATGGCCTACTAATGTCCCATGGGCCTTTGTTCACACTGTGTATACTCTGAAATGGAGGCACCATATGTATCATCCCTTCACTGGGTCTTTGTTATAGTTCTGTAATACCCTGAATTCACTGAAGAGGCTTAGAAAGAAATTTCTAACCACCATAGACAGTAAAAACTTACAGTGTAACCTGCTCAACTCCTATAGTCAATACTTATATTTCCGTTTAATAGTTGGTCATATGACACATCATTTTACCTTTCTGATATATTATTATGATAAACTGTCAAAGTAATGAAATGTTAACATTCACAAGCTGCAATTCTCTAGCACCTAAAACTGTGAACCAGAATAAAAATTACCACATGCCAACAGAGTTTTAATAAACTGGTTGTGGGCGGATGGTGGTTTACACCTGTAATCCCAATACTTTGGGAGGCTGAGGCGAGAGGAATGCCTGAGCCTGGGGGGTTCGAGACCAGCCTGGACAACTTGGAGAGACCTCATCTCCACAATAACTCACAAAAAACTAGCCAGGCGTGGTGGGATGCGTCTGTAGTTCCAGCTTCTTGGAAGGCTGAGGCGGAAGGATCACCTGAGCCCAGCAGGTCAAGGCTGCAGTGGCCATAAACGTGCCGCTACACTCCAGCCTGGTCAACAAAGAGTGAGACTCCAACTCAAAAAAAAAAAATTAAATAGGTTGGGCTCGGTGGCTCAGCCTGCAATCCCACCACTTTGGGAGACCGAGGAGAGTGGATTGCCTGAGCCCATGGGTTCAAGACCAGCCTGACAACTTGGCAAGACCCTGTCTCTACAATAAATCAAAAATTAGCTGGGCATGGTAGTGCATGCCTGTAGTTCCAGTTACTTAGAAGGCTGAAGCAGAAGGATCGCTGGAGCCCAGCAAGTCGAGGCTGTGGTGGCCAGGAGCATACCACTGCACTCCAGCCTGGGTGACACAGTGAGACTCCAACTCAAAAAAATAAAATAAAATAAAATAAATTGGTTGTGGCCAGGAGTGATGGTTTACACCTGTAATCCCAGCACTTTGGGAGGCAGAGGCAAGAGGATTGCCTGAGCTCTGGGGTTCAAGACCAGTCTGGGCAACATGGCGAGACCTCGTCTCTACAATAAATCAAAAAGTTAGCCGGGCCTGGTGGTGCATGCCTGTGGTTGCAGCTACTTGGAAGGCTAAGGTGGAAGGATCACCTGAGCCCAGCAGGCCGAGGCTGCAGTGGTGGTGAGTGTGCCACTGCACTCCAACCTAGGTGACAGAGTGAGATTCTGACTCAAAATAAATAATAAATAAAAATTGGTTGATCTTTCAAAATTACATTGGCTATTTTATGTTATTTGTCCTGATTACCAAAGCAATGCACATTCACACACATGGAAAAAAAAAATTTTTTTTTTTTTTTAAGTGGAGTCTCACTCTGTTGCCCAGACTGGAGTGCAGTGGCACGCTCAGGGCCACCGCAGTCTTGACCTGCTGGGCTCAGGTGACCCTTCCACCTCATCCTTCCAAGTAGCCGGAGGCACAGGTGTACACCACCACACCCGGCTAATTTTTTGATTTATTGTAGAGACGAGGTCTCACCAAGTTGCCCATCTGGTCTTGAACCCCTAGATTCAGGCAGTCGTCTCGCCTCTGCCTCCCAAAGTGCTGGAATTACAGGCGTGAGTCACTACGCACAGCGGAAAGTTTTTTTAATTGTAAAAAAGCATAAGAATGGAAAAGAGGCATCTGTATACTCACTACCCAGGACAATGTTAAAATTTAATACAGCAATCCAATTTAAATTCTTGGAGTAAAGAACTTATACTGTGCTTCAGGCTGCCAGCTCACTGAAACACATAGGAAATGCATAGGAGGCATCCACAGGGAACACAGAAGGCAGCTCAGGGGAAAGAGGCACTCTCAGAATGCTATTCTGCAGAACTAGATATTTCAGATAACTGAAAGGAGGCAAAAATTACAGTGTTCCCTGTGGAAAGGGCCTGTAGAAGCCTGCTAGATTTCCCCACAACCTGTCCAGTAGGGCAGCAATGGGACGTACCAAGTTCTAAGCACATGTCTGAACCCATAGCTGTGTGATGTTGAGCTTGACACTTCAAACCTCTGGGTCTCTTAAACCTCATTTAAGTTTTCTGATTCTTTCTACACATTTTTGTACATGTTATCTCATTCATCTACACAATGCCAGTACCGTACAAAGATCATGGGTGAGGACTCTAGAGCCAGACTACCTGGGTGGGAACTCTAGCTTCACCACTTGCTAGGTGGGTGAACTTGAATACTGAAAACCTCTTGGTCAGGCGCACTGGCTTTCACCTATAATACCAGCATGTAGGGAGGCTGAGGCTGGAGGATCACTTGAGGCCAGGAACTTGAGATAAGCTTTAGTATCATAGCAAGATGCCATCTTTATATAAATAGTTAATTTTTTAAAGACCTCTCTATATGCCTCCACCTTCCACATCTATTCAGAGAAGCTAATACCAGTGCCTATCTGAGCAAGCTGTCACGAGAATTCAAGAAGTTAACATTTGTAGAGCATCTGACAGTGTCTGGCAACACGAAAGAAGCATTTGCAAAATATATTTCGGAAGCAAAATTAAACTAGCCTTTCAATTTCCAAGTGGATAAGTGGCCTGCACAGTTTCTACAAAACATTTTGTCTAACAATCACACAAATGGACCTCGCAGTTAGGTAGAAAACCCTTCTTGAGAAATTATAATTCCTAAAGTTCATCAAACGAAAAGGTCTTAGGTTAAACGGAAGGAAAAAGATTACCTCATGAACTTGTCTAGCACGTCCTCTACCCACATGTGCATGCGGAGGGACTGAAATCCATAGCGCCAAACAAGTTTAATCATGTTAATCATGAACCAGCTGCTCTCCTCAAACACCAGAGTCTCTCCGTTATAGATTCCCAACAGGCCACCAGTGGCCTGAACGGTAGAGAGACCTGCACAAAACAGAGAAAGAGTAGTTAAGTAAGTGGTTTCTATGCTGATAAAATGAAAAGGGGTAGCCTGAAGCTCCAGGATGCTGAAGGGAGTGAATGTGGGGCTTCCCCTAGTTCTCAGGAGACACACTCAAGGAGGTCTATCTTTAGAATAGTGTGATACACTAGATGCTCACCACATTGTCCAGAACCAGATTCGCTAGAAGACAGGTCAGATGATCATGAAGATCGATCAAAATTAGATATATTTTTATCTGGCTACTTTTAGTCTAAAAAGACTAGAAAGTCCAAAGAAAGAAGCAAGAGTATCAGCTGAACTCAATTTAAAAAAAAATGTCAGTCGTGCATCTTTCTGGCATGATTTGTTCCTGGTACCCTCTTGGAGGAAATGCATAGGAGGCATCCACAGGGAACACAGAAGGCAGCTCAGGGGAAAGAGGCACTCTCAGAATGCTATTCTGCAGAACTAGATACTTCAGATAACTGAAAGAAGGCCAAAATTAGTGTTCCCCGTGGAAAGGGCCTGCAGAAGCCTGCTAGATTTCTCCACAACCTGTCCAGCAGGGCAGCAATGGAACGTCCCAAGTTCTAAGCACATGTCTGAACCCATAGCTGTGTGACGTTGAGCTTGACACTTCAAACCTCTGGGTCTCATTTCCTCAGCTGTAAAATGAGCACAGCAAGCCGGGCTCGGTGGCTCAGCCTGTAATCCTGCGCCTTTGGGAGGTTGAGGTGAGTGGATTGCCTGAGCCCGCGGGTTCCAGACCTGCCTGGGCAGGCGAGACCTCATCTCTACAATAAATCAAAAAATCAGCCGGGCGTGGTAGCGCACGCCTGTAGTTCCAGCTACCTGGAAGGCTGAGGCGGAAGGATCTCCAGATCCCAGCAGGTCGAGGCTTCGGTGGCCGGGAGCGGCCACTGCACCAGTCTGGGCGACTCCAACTCAAAAAAAAAAGAGTACAGCAAGGCTGCTGCTAGCTCCAAATATTCTCTGATTCTTCAACACAAGCCCAAAGGTTTAAGAATGGACAACACCCCATGGCTGTAATTCCAGATAACAGAAGATACAGATAACTAGTGTCCCATTACAGGAGAACAGCTTCTAACTAAGGCAATACCAATACTAACAGGAAAGTGACGAAAACGGTTTTACCAACTTCTCTGTAAGAGACAATTAACGAGGCAGAAAAGTTTCAGTTCTCTATCTAATAAAAATATTCTGGGAAGGCTCATAGATACCTGGCGAACTTCAAGACCAAAATACATACCCAGGTCTTTGACAAAACGCTTCATGTGCAGATTTAAAGGATGGATGACAGAACCTCCTGCCTCATAGTCGTGCCCCTGCACTGACATGGTGGCCAGACGGCCCCCCACCTCTTCTCTTTCAAACACATCGATCTTCACATCTTTTCCAAATTTCTGCCGCAAGTAATAGGCTGCTGAAGTGCCACCAATTCCAGCTCCGATAATCGCTATGGGGGAGAAAAAGGAACAGTTTTCCTCCCCCCCTTACCAGCTGTGTGGGTTGTTTTTGCACACAAGGTCATTAACTAATAACAGATTGTGCAAGGCTATTACCAACAATTTAGGGAAGCCCGGGCAGGGAGGAGGAACACCTGCAGGAAAGATAGAATTTTGAAGCTGGAAAGACACCACCCCCAGATAAAAGCAGTAGTAGATTAATTTACAAACTGACATTAATTTCCTTTTTTTTCCCCCCCGATCCCCAACGATTCTCACAGGTCATTTGTAGAGGCACCCAACGAGCCTGCACAACCTTGTTGGTGCCCAACTCATGGGCACAGAAGAGGTGGGCCTTTCCAGCACGCATTTGAAAAAAAATGACCGCCATTTTTGCCTAGCGTTGTTGTGTCTCAGTGTAGACAGGTGAACGATCCCGAAGAACACAGCTTTGGGGGGGGGAGGACAGGGAGCAAAAGACCAAGACCCCGGATACTAGAAAGAGAGCAGATTATTTCGGCAGCTGTGTTAGCCCTAAGCAGAGAAACCGTGCAAGCCAGGGGCCTCTGAGAGCAGGCCGACCTCAGCAAAGCAGAGATGGGGGAAGGGGGTTCCAGCCTAGGAAGGGAAGCAGACCGTGTCAGCTTGTTTGTACTGCTCCCTGTGCTGTCTGCGTACGCCTGAAATCGGCCTCGCGGGGGCGGCTGGACGCATCGTGCGGACCCAGAAGACCGGCTGCCCCCAGGCGCAACAAAGAGAAGACGGAGGGGGACTCTCGGCCGCCTCGGCACCCCAAGCCCATGAACAGGCAGGGGCCACGGGGCTCTGGGGGCCCGCCTGACGCCCTCACCGGTCCCTGCCCACGCCCACGCGCCAAGTGAGCGCCGCTCCACGCCTGGGAAGCCGCGACTCCACTCCGAGGAG